TAGTTTTTTTTTTTTTTTTTTTAAATTCATGATCATTTTCGCAAAATTGTCTAGCGACAAAACTAAGTGCACCGCAGCGCCACCGTGGTCACTCAACGAAACCAATACACTATTAATACGAATATGCTCTTCTTTCGTCATATTGTTTTTGACAATTCATCATTACATCGTAAGAATAATGGGAATTTTATAAAAAGCGCGTGGCAGTCAACGTGTCAACTATAATTCGGCCAAGATTTCCATTTCGCGCGCCGTTGCCCTCTTCTTTCCAAACAGCCTATCCTAACGTATACATAAAAGATCGAATGTTTGCGTTTATTCGTATCGAATTGGCGGCATGTATTGTGGACGACGATGTATTCTTCGAACAGAAAGAAAAAAAAAGAAAATTCTAAGCGTGTAAAAAAAATTAAAGACATTGATTCGACTGGACAAATTTGCAGCTTGCAAAATGTATGTATGTGTGCATGCGTGTGGCGTTGTGTGTGTGTGTTTGTGTGTATTCTCGAGCGTGCGTTTAAACTCGAGGTGGCCGACGGGCGTCGTGGAACGTCGTATATCGAATTTTCGTCGTTGATTGTGTCTTTCTACAGAGAAACGAAAAAAAAAAAAAAAAGAAAAAGGACGAAAAGTGAAAAATCGACCAGCATAGTTGGTAAGCATGCGCGACGGGGGAAAAGGTACGTATACACTACTTAAGAGAGATCCAAAATGTGGCCAAGCGGAAGCAGCTGTGATCTGCTTAAATAGAGGATTTCCGCGCCTTATGTAATGTACATATGTCATCGCGAAACGTCGCTGCGTCGACAGTCATACACTTTATCGATTAATTTGTTTTCGCCTCGTGGTGCGGCGCGAAGCGACTCGCGGACTCGCACGTAACGCTATCATCATTCAAACTGATCTTTACTCTTTTCTTCTTTTTTTTTAATAGTATTATTGCCCATATTTGTCCATCGTTCATTGTCATTTCGTGCGCAAATCGTCTGGCTGTTGTCGTACGCACGCGTATAATGTATAATTGTTAACGCATAGTATTAACATTAATGGATATTATTAATAATAACAACACATTATTATTATTAATAATATCAGCATCATTGGCGATTCTGTAAGAATATTATATACATATATATATATATGTATATAAAAGAACATCAAAGACTTACCGTTCCGTTTACTTAAGTCTATATTTTTATAGCGTTTTCTTTTTGCGCCATCTGGTATACTGTTTAGGTACGAAACTGCTCGTTTAGCGTAACTAGTCATTCGCATTTGTACATGTGTTCATTTCTTCATCCACAGACCTTCTTTTTTTTAAGTTTTATTAGCCGTTTAGGGGGGTGAGGGGACTTAATGGTCCCCCCACCCCCAAATGGGGGGACTTAATGGGGGACAACCAAAGTTGTTCCCAAAATTTAAAAAGTCTCTTTTCAAGGGGAAACGATTCACCTTCGATCGTGACGCCCACACGACGCTTTATCGGCTGCGAGCAACTTAGATCCCCATCGTTCCTAATCGAGTGTTTTCAGGTCGGTTGATACGTTCGAACGTTGCGCGAGGGCGGGGAGCAGCTTCTTACTGACTTCGACTCGCGCCGATTCACACCGAAAAAATATCGATCGCGGCTTGAGAAGTTTCCTGACCACCGACTTCCTCTTCCTTTTATTTCGACTTTCTGCACTTCGCTCGGTACGAAACATTCCCCCGCCCCGAAATTATTTCGTATCAGAGCGAAATTTGAACGACTCGATTATTCTACCTTTGCGGTCTCGGGGGCCGTTCGAATAAATTGGGAACAGTTTATCTCTATAATTAGATGTATAGCACAAGCGCAAATAAAACTCAAAAAAAAACGGATTAAAATTCAAAAACTAAAATGTTTTTTTTTTTTTCTGTCTTTGAAGAAAAATCTGTTCGTCGCTACACCTTTCAAAATTGTTTTCACGTTTGCCCATGCTGCAGTTACAAACGTAATTGATTAAAACTAGTGAAACTGTTTCGTATATTATATAGAATAATTATCAATCGAGATCGTTGTTATTGCCACAAAAAATGCATCACGAGCCTGACTCGGTTAACTGTCCAATTTAGCTGTTCGCGCGTTTCCAAAGTTGTGTGTGTGTGCGCGCGCGCGCGCTCGGCTTATCCAGCGACCTCTCGATTCGATCCTATTACTCTCATTGATGGTAAGCCATAGTTAAGAGGATTTCAAATCGCGTTATTACGCGCGTGGGCGTCCAGTTTCATTGGACATTCACGTTCGGAAGACTAACTCTGTAAGCGTTAATATGCATCAAACACACCGTTCTACAGTGCGTCTTCATCTCGAATTTTTCTACATTCTTTCACGGGATCTCACGGGCTGTGAACGGGGGTTGGAGGGGGAGACAACAACAGAGAACTGCAAGATCGTTTTTACCGAACGTACGTTTTATTTCTGCAATTCGGGTGCGACAAGTGTAGTCCAGTTTACCGTCTGAGGGTAAGGAAGAGCAGCAGAAGCAGGGGGTCTCGTTCTCATGGGATATGGATTCAGCATCTGTCGAGAGGCAGCAATCGATGATTCATCGACACTTCAAGCGAGGAAATACATAACGCATTCTTACTTAGTGGGCACTGCTTTGTTTTCATGGAATAAAGTTCGAGATAAATTTAGTATGTGATCGAGAAAAATCAGTCGCTGCCTGTCACAATATATATAGAGAAGGGGAGGGAAGTACGATAAGATTACTATATGTTTGTTCGATACGAATCTGCGGTATTCTTCTGCACACTGACAAGTGTTCATTATCTCGGCGTTTAACACTTAGAGCTACCACACCAGTCAAAATGACTTTATGGTTTTACAATTTTATTCCAAAATTTTTATTTCAGCGATAACTAAAGAAATTATATAATGAATTTTATTTTATTTTTATTTTCATTAGAAATCGAGATAATTTTGTATCGTGGCTACTTGTACCAATATCAGTCAAAGAAAAGTGTGAAGTCAATCAGTTTCGTACAATATGATGATGACGATTGGAAAATTGCGCACTTTCGTTTACAAGCTTGTCGAGTTTTCGGTAAAAAAAAAAATTTGGAATTTTGTATGCACGGGGGAAAAAAAATATTTGGAGCTTTCATATTTATGGGATGACAGACAATGGGGACCAAAACTTCTTTTCCAACAGCACGAATAGAAATGATGTGGTGAAGTCAACGTTTTGCAAAGTGACAAATTTGCTGTCTGATATCAGCTGTGTTTATTCAAATTAGGTGCAAATATATTGAACGAACTTTTCCATCTAAAGCCAGATGCAGTTTTATTCAACGTTTGCCGGACAAACCCGACAGATTTGCTATTAACTGGGATTTCTTTTTCTAAGAAAGTAATAAATCAATAAAAATAAAAAAATATTCTATTGTCACGTGATATAAAAATATAATAAATATTCTATTACATTGTTGAAGACCAGTCATTTTCACTGGGTTGTTGGTAGAAATTGCTTGACTGTCGGTAGTTCGAGTGTTAAGAACTATTTTCAGTTCCTTTTTCTCATACTGTGATATCTTCAGACTTCTGACGCGTTGTCGATTGGCCGGGCAGATCTCTCTTCGTATTTCCGAAGTACACACGCAACTAGCAGATTTCCCCCCTCCAGTTTCTACGCTTGGTATAGCTTTTTGACACATCCGCCACTGCAGGCTGAACACCGCCAACATAATTCCCAAAAAGTCTGAGTATCTAGCGCGGGGAATAATCAGAGAACGTAAACGTTATTCACGAAATTATCTCCTACTTCCTCATTCCTCTCTGAATCATTGAAAAAATAGTATGTGTAACTTGATAAGAACGTGAAACGAAGATAATTTTGATTAAACAAAAAATGGTTGATGATCTAATCAGTTCCTTGCCACACGAGCAACGTTATTACGTACACTTTTCAAACTTGATACTGCTATGTTCAACTATATATCAGCGATGTTACGATTATAGTTTGAATAATTGCGACTCGATTATCGTTCACTTATTTATTGAACGTTCGTATATTTATTAGGCAAATAAAAATTGTATTCGATTTGGCCATCTGCTTGTGTGTTGTGCAGAGTGGGTCAAAGTGGTTTCTTGCCTTTTTTTTTTTTTTTTTTTTTTTATGAGACAACGAAACACGAGAGAAAACTGATTTCATTAATTTTAAATTAAATTCGAATTCAAGCATGATTTTTGTCCCGTTATGTTTTAGAAATTATTTCTTTCAAATGTAGGAAGTGACTTTTGATCCACCCTGTATACGTCCCGCGGCTAGCAGCGGCGCCAATTTTGAAATGACGTAACCGATGTTCGGTTAATAAATTTAATAAATTGATGTAGAACTACCGGCACTCATTGTCAGCCGAAGAATTTGAAGGGCCGCGTTATCGGCCGCAAATGCGATCAATCTAAATCCGATACAATGCTTGTGATTATTTTGAAGTGAAAAAAACAAGTGTACACGTGAAATATTTAGCTCGTTAATCATCGATTAACATCCGCTGATCGATTCACGCGATAGCCAGTGTGTTGATAAATCAAAATATATATTACATAAAACGATTATTTTCCTCTTCTTTTTTATTTTTTTCTCTCATTTTGTTTCTCCGTGTCCTTTTTTTTTTTTCTTATTTCTTAACCTCTTGCGCTGGTATGACGTGCCACGCACGTCGAGAATTTTTTGTCCCAAAATTACAATATTGCCTCAGTTTTAAATATATTTAATTTAAGTATAACTCGGACAAATAATAAATTTATTATTTCTTAGTAATAATTTCTATCCAGTGATACCGACGAGTTCAAAAAGAAAGCGACGATTTATTGGGTATAGAGTTTGGTCACTCGTTATGGTCCGCGAATCAGTTGCTAGCGCAAGGGGTTAACCTCTTGCGCTGAAATGACGTGTCACGCACGTTTGAGAAATTTTGGTCTCAAAATTGCAATATTTCCTCAGTTTTAAATATATTCAAATATAACCCAAAAGGCAAAACAAATAATAAATTTATTACTTTTTAATAATTTCTATCCAATGATATCATACCGACGAGTTCAAAAAGAAAGCGACGATTTATTGGGTATAGAGTTTGGTCACTCGTTATGGTCCGCGAATCAGTTGCTAGCGCAAGGGGTTAACCTCTGACGTGTCACGCACGTTTGAGAAATTTTGATCTCAAAATTGCAATATTTCCTCAGTTTTAAATATATTCAAATATAACCCAAAAGGCAAAACAAATAATAAATTTATTACTTCTCAGTAATAATTTTTATCCAA